AAAAAAAAAATCAATATACAGTGAATTTCAGATACGTTTGAGTTCACGGAAAATACATAACTAAGAGGAAAATTAAGGTCACTTTGTTGCAAGCAATTTCTAGTGACTTTTATTTTGACGTTACAAGGAAGTGATTAACGGTTCTTCTATTCGTGTAGTTCATTGGTCTTTCAGCAGGCGGCGCGTGAGACCCAGCAGTGTCGCGTGTGCTGACTGGTCAGTTGTGTATGTACGTGTCAGTGGAAATTGTAAACTTGAGCTATATCTCATCGGTTTTATTTACAGGCATGGAGTAGCTTTAGGTGTTATTTGATCAAAATAACGACAACCACGATTGCAATGGAGGTAAAACAAAACATTCTTTGGTTAAAATTAAGTGTCACCGTTTTTTTAAGTCTTGCTCTCTCTGTGTAAAGAAACGTGAACATGCTTATAGACATTGACAAGCTATCAAAAACCATTTCAAAGAGTATTATTGTGCATCAATGCACACTTATGTGATTTTATTAATATAAAGCCTGAATTATTTTCTTGGCTTACATCTTTTCGTTGTCTTTCCATTAAGATCATAAGACCATAATAATGTGCAAAAAGTTGACGTGAGTGTTATTACAGTGTGTATAATTTACCTTTGTTATAAAAATCTGTTTTAACAGAACATCCAGAATGTCCCAATTGACATCCAAACCAGTAAACTCTTAGGTAAGACAGTTTTACAGTCTTTTATGCATACACAATTCTTAAACATATGGTTTGTGCTGTAGCTTGACTTCTGCACACAGTAGTTTAGATCTTGCACACAGATCTATTTAATATTTTGCTTTTGTCTCCATCATTCAGACTGGCTGGTGGACCGGAGGCACTGCACGCTGAAATGGCAAAGTGCAGTGATGACAATTAGAGAGAAAATCAATGCTGCCATTCAGGATATGCCAGAGAATGAGGAGATCAAACAACTGCTCTCTGGCTCATGTAAAAAAAAAAAACCATTATTATAACAATACAAACATACTTCTTTTTGTTTGAATGTGATTACTCATACATTGTTCCTTTTGCAGATATTCATTATTTCCACTGCTTACGAATAATCGAAATATTAAAAGGAACAGAGGTGTCCACCAAAAATATTTTTGGCAGATATTCATCACAAAGGATGAAGGTGATGATGCATCTCTCTGCTGTTTATTATTCTTTTAATGTGTAATTTATTGCTGTATGTAGTAAAAATAATATGCTATATTTTTTTTTTTGTCAACAGGATTGGCAAGAAATAGTGTCCCTGTATGAAAAAGACAATGTCTATTTAGGTAAACAATCCTCATTTAATTATTTAAGCCATTTTTTAAAAGTTACGCAAACACAGTGACATGATTGTGTGTATGTGTGTTTTTAACCCCAGCTGAAGTGGCCAGTATATTGATTCGTAGTGTAAGTTATGAAGGTCCTGCTTTGAGGAAGCAGGTGTCTAAAGCTCAGCAGCTGCAGCAGGAGTTGAGCAGAAGAGAACTGGAGTGTCAGAGCGGTGCCACTGACATGAGGGAACGCTATTATGCTGCCTGTAAACAGTATGGGATACAGGTTAGACAACAAATGATTACAATGTATTTTACATCGTTTGATGTTGATTACCGATACTAACCTATAATATTTCACAGGGGGAAAATGTGGCAAGAGAGTTACAAGCACTCGTTAAGGATCTGCCTGTAGTTTTAGAAGAAACTGGTAAAAAAGCAGCCTGTCTGGATGAAGCTATAAAATTTTACGCAGCCTTCATAAACTTTGTTAGCCATTGGTGAGTGTGACTTCTTGTCGTTTCTAATGGTGCATTGATTGACCTTTAGACACCTGAAATCATGCCTGTAATTTAACGCCAACATAACCCTTATATGATGTGCAATTTGACATTTTTTTAGGTCTGAAGAAGCACTGCCCATTCTAAGATTTGTCCAGAAGAAAGGAAACACAACTGTATATGAGTGGAAGACAGGAAATGTGCCCACAATTGTAGAGAGACCTGTAATGGAGGAAGCCCCACCTGATGTTGTTACAGAGGAGACTGTAAGTGTGAATAATATGACTCCATGAGTTGAGTTTTAAGCGTCTATCTATCATTCTTGTTTTGTGCAGATTGACTGGGGTGACCTCGGCGATGGCGCTGATACTGAAGAGGTGAATTTTGGAATCTCTGTTGAGGATGGTGTGGACTTGGGCATTAGTCCCGAGATTGGCACAGAGGTAAGAGCCTTAAATATTTAGTACAAATGTAAAGTCTTTGGTTATCTCATTTTGAAACAGAATTAAAACAGTCTACCAATCAACTTCAGGAAACCAGTGCTGGTGGTATTGACTGGGGAGCCTCTGAATTAACACCTGTGGAAATTGAAATTGTGGATGTTGGCACAGACTGTAAGTGTGTTGGGATTTACTCAAATTAAATGTTGATAACTGTACTTAACATTAAGAATTTCTTATACATGTACACTGCTTTTCAAAAGTTTGGGGTCAATAATATTTTTATTCCGGATGCATTAAATTGATGTAAAGTGCCAATAATAAGACATTAATAATGTTACAAAAGTTTTTCAAATAAATGCTGTTCTTTTGAACTTTTTATTCATCAAAG